TTATATGTTTTTAATTGCAATGCGCTGAAACCTTGAAATTTCGCAACAACGTAATCAGCTGTATGACTTTTAATTACGATATAAATGGTTCCTTTTGTCTCAAGTTAAATTGCTTCTGTCCTTTTATGTCCGTTGTATACTAGAGAAATGCAAAGCAGTTTTGAAGAAATAATATGTTAAGTCACGTATATTGATAATTTAAAAGAAAAGAAGCGAAATGAGAGAGCATTAATGAAATTATATCTTTGCTGCAACATTAATTTTCTAGAATCGTAAATCAGTGTTTTCAAGTCATTTTTATCACAAGCAATATTCCGAATTAGAATAAAAAAGGATTACATTTATTTCTCTTAATCGATAAAAAAATACCGCGAATAAACTGGAAAAATTTTTAATCTGTCATTGAGATGGTAATTAAAAATATAAGACTTAAAAAAGTATCGAAGCTAGGAATATCATGTGGATTTTTCATCCACCCGAATTTGTAGCTTTTATATAATCGATATTCTAATGAATTCTAATTATTTTTCTTGATAAATATTTGGAACATAATAAAATATATATATATATATCCTTTGTGTGTATATTTTCGTCTTATTGTAAATTTATTTTACAATAATAATTATCGCACATATACTAACATTATGTATGTACACCTTTAAAGTTTCTCAAAAAAGCGCAATCTATTTCCGTTATTGCCAATTAAATTGTTTCAATAATTATTATTGAATCAATATAAAAATTGATCTGTTTATATACAGAGTGTCCCACAGTTTACCCGATAAATTGCGGGAGGATATTCTACAAGTGGAAATAAGAAAAAGATATTATATTATTTAACTAGAAATGCTTTATTATAAAGTTATAAGCAAATATTGAAACGGAACATGAAAGAGGTAACACAAATTTTCCATTGTGCAGAATCAGTGTATATCAGTGCACTCCTTATTTGAAAACACTCTTGGCATTTTGATGATAATTGCTTTAGTTCACATAACAATTGAAATTCAACAGCTATTGATAAGAGTAACAATCATACTCTGAATCTTTTAAAGATAATAATATATGAATACACAGATAAAAGAGATAAACACGTTCGACCTTTTATATTCTGCACAATGGAAAATTCGTGGTTACTTATTTCATGTTCCGTTTCAATATTTGCTTATAACTTTGTAATAAAGCATTTCTAACCAAACTTCATATAATATTTTTTTCTTATTCTATTTATAGAATATGCTCTCGCAGTTTGTCGGGTAAACTCTGGGACACCCTGTATATCGAGACTGATTTCTAATATTTTAGAATTTAAAATTTGGAGCATACGTTTTTATCATATTTATTAAAAACATATATTGTAAAGAAGAAAACGCAGAGAGATAATTGCGCACAAGAGAATATTGAGACAGACACACATGTTACTTGTTTCAAACGTTCCGCACTGGAGAATGCCGGAAGAATGTCAAACGTAAACATTTATTTCACATTGCAGTTCACTACAGTACTATTTATGTTGTATGTTTATCCGTAGCCGTTGATAAAATACGCTATTCATCGACATTGTTAACGGCACAGCAAAGGTCGGTTGGATAGCAATAAATATATTTTTTGAATATATATAATAACAGTTTCTACCTTAAAAAAAGTATTTAATTTTTTTTATTAAATTTACACTTTTTATATATTTTTAATACTGATGTAATACAATCAATATTATGTTACAATTGTTTAATTAATTCTTTTTAGAGATCTGTACTTCAGAGATTTATTCAAAGATTTATCCAAAAATCTAGCTTGCATCAAATAATTAATATTTTAATGAAGCTTTTATCAGTTATAAAATCTATTAACAATTTTTAATTTTTAATTAACATCTAAATGAAATAATATCAAATTCGCGAGGTTACTAAAAATTAATATTTATTATTTATAATCAGATATTTCTTTTCATAGTAATTCTTATTTTTTTATAATATTCGTTAACAGCCTCGACTGTTAAAATCAATATCGAATTGTCCTGATTTATTTCGAAGCGCGAATTTACATCCCAAAATACCATAGATATTTGCGTAAATAAAAAATCAGATTTCAAGAAAACTTCGAGCAATGCACAATATATGATCATATTCGTGACGAGAGAAATTCGTGAGAAGCTTGGCGGCCGAAGATGACGAGCGCGAAATGTGCCTTAGGTCCGAAAATAACGTGGCCGTTCGTTGGTACGGTGGAATCTCGTCGTTCGCAATTTTAGAAACCGTAAAGCCGATCGTCGTTCTCCCGCACGCAAGTGACAAGTACGACGAGCTTAGTCCTCTCGAACGTGCCACTCTCGGTCGTGTGTCCTCACGGCGCGGTAAAATTCGATCGGGACGTTCCCACGTGAGTCACCGCTGGTCCTCGTCAACGACCGAATGGAGCCTCTTCGCGAACGCTTCAGGTGAGGTGAGGTCAGCGGGGGCATCTCGTTCGCGGAAATTGATCAACGGGATTCATCCCCCGCTGACGAGTTCGCGGAATTCATTTGTCCTGCGATATATCGATACGGATACGTGTTAATCCGAGCCATCCAGGCGTGCGCATGTATGTCGCTCGTACAGAATTAATGATTCGATGTAATGCGGAGTGCGTATATATTGAAACGGAACATGAAAGAGGTAACACAAATTTTCCATTGTGCAGAATCAGTGTATATCAGTGCACTCCTTATTTGAAAACACTCTTGGCATTTTGATGATAATTGCTTTAGTTCACATAACAATTGAAATTCAACAGCTATTGATAAGAGTAACAATCATACTCTGAATCTTTTAAAGATAATAATATATGAATACACAGATAAAAGAGATAAACACGTTCGACCTTTTATATTCTGCACAATGGAAAATTCGTGGTTACTTATTTCATGTTCCGTTTCAATATTTGCTTATAACTTTGTAATAAAGCATTTCTAACCAAACTTCATATAATATTTTTTTCTTATTCTATTTATAGAATATGCTCTCGCAGTTTGTCGGGTAAACTCTGGGACACCCTGTATATCGAGACTGATTTCTAATATTTTAGAATTTAAAATTTGGAGCATACGTTTTTATCATATTTATTAAAAACATATATTGTAAAGAAGAAAACGCAGAGAGATAATTGCGCACAAGAGAATATTGAGACAGACACACATGTTACTTGTTTCAAACGTTCCGCACTGGAGAATGCCGGAAGAATGTCAAACGTAAACATTTATTTCACATTGCAGTTCACTACAGTACTATTTATGTTGTATGTTTATCCGTAGCCGTTGATAAAATACGCTATTCATCGACATTGTTAACGGCACAGCAAAGGTCGGTTGGATAGCAATAAATATATTTTTTGAATATATATAATAACAGTTTCTACCTTAAAAAAAGTATTTAATTTTTTTTATTAAATTTACACTTTTTATATATTTTTAATACTGATGTAATACAATCAATATTATGTTACAATTGTTTAATTAATTCTTTTTAGAGATCTGTACTTCAGAGATTTATTCAAAGATTTATCCAAAAATCTAGCTTGCATCAAATAATTAATATTTTAATGAAGCTTTTATCAGTTATAAAATCTATTAACAATTTTTAATTTTTAATTAACATCTAAATGAAATAATATCAAATTCGCGAGGTTACTAAAAATTAATATTTATTATTTATAATCAGATATTTCTTTTCATAGTAATTCTTATTTTTTTATAATATTCGTTAACAGCCTCGACTGTTAAAATCAATATCGAATTGTCCTGATTTATTTCGAAGCGCGAATTTACATCCCAAAATACCATAGATATTTGCGTAAATAAAAAATCAGATTTCAAGAAAACTTCGAGCAATGCACAATATATGATCATATTCGTGACGAGAGAAATTCGTGAGAAGCTTGGCGGCCGAAGATGACGAGCGCGAAATGTGCCTTAGGTCCGAAAATAACGTGGCCGTTCGTTGGTACGGTGGAATCTCGTCGTTCGCAATTTTAGAAACCGTAAAGCCGATCGTCGTTCTCCCGCACGCAAGTGACAAGTACGACGAGCTTAGTCCTCTCGAACGTGCCACTCTCGGTCGTGTGTCCTCACGGCGCGGTAAAATTCGATCGGGACGTTCCCACGTGAGTCACCGCTGGTCCTCGTCAACGACCGAATGGAGCCTCTTCGCGAACGCTTCAGGTGAGGTGAGGTCAGCGGGGGCATCTCGTTCGCGGAAATTGATCAACGGGATTCATCCCCCGCTGACGAGTTCGCGGAATTCATTTGTCCTGCGATATATCGATACGGATACGTGTTAATCCGAGCCATCCAGGCGTGCGCATGTATGTCGCTCGTACAGAATTAATGATTCGATGTAATGCGGAGTGCGTATATATAGGGTTCAGACTCTCCGGCCAGAAATTTCAATTTCATTGTAGTCTCGGACTCGTGACAAGTTACCACTCGTCAATCTGTGCTTGAATAGGAACCCGATTGTGTAAACATATCTTTTTGTTTAATTAAATTAATCTCGAACAAATTTTCGAGTATCTTCTGTAATTATTTGCAAAATATAATCCCCCATGAGCTTCCTTCAATATGTTTTTAGCGGGAAATCTGTGTAAAGTGTGTGTTAGAAATATTATATATGCGTGACATATTCCAGAATTTCCAAAATAAAAAAAAATTGTTTCTCTAACAAATTTTAAATGTGGATTCTTTTAGAGAAAAAATTCTCGAGCAATATAAGTTATTTACATACTTTTGGTTAATAGTAAATCTCTGGATAATTTTGATCAACCCTCTCTCTTTTTAAATAGTATATTTAAAGTTATAAAATTTAATAAAAAAAATAAATAAGAGATTTAAAACAACTGTGGTTAAAAAAAAACCATTATTGTTTAATGCTGCAATTATTATTATTGCTAAGTGATACGACTAAGTGATTATTTATCATTCATATTAAGTAGAAACTCGCATGTAAAGCACATGACTCTGCTTACAGATGCCTTTCACGTTGTAAAGTGACCCTCGTGGAGAGAAGCTGTACACTTACGATGGGCAAGCTTTTGAGTCTTTTGGCTCGAGACGAGTCTACCTGTTGCACGCCTCAAAAGTACGACGTCTTCTTAGATTTCGAAAGTAAGTCGTACTTATTTTTCTCACGGAGAATTCTAATATTAATTCTTAGCATTGTTTTTTACATGATCTGTTACGTACTAATCTTCTTTTCCAAGAGAAAGACAGAAAGAAACATTTTATCTTTGAAAAAATATTTAACAATTCCATAAAACAATATATATTATATTTTCAATGTGATAAAAAATAGAATCTATGAAGCTTAATAAATACATAAAATATATTGAATTTAATAAAATTAGTTTGTTTTACTTGTTCCTAGATGCACAGCCATCGGATATCGAACGCGAGACGTTTGAGGCAGTGCAAAGGGTGCTGAAAAATTCAGAATCTATTTTGGAGGAAATACAATGTTATAAAGGAGCCGGGAAAGAAATCAGAGAAGCGATTTCGGCGCCCACGGAGGAATGTCAAAGAAAAGCTTATCTGACCGTAGCACCCCTCGTCGCGAAACTCAAACGATTTTATGAGTTTTCCTTGGAACTTGGTACGCATCATTAATTACATTAACGATAACAGTTTTCTATAAATAGGGATATTACATCGCCTCTTGGAGGTTCGATATCGGCGTGAATATTGGGAAAACTTCAATCTGCATTTGTTTTTAGCCACATTATTGCATATACTTTTAATTAATTAAGTATTAACTATTATCGGAGGAATATCCGTGAAAAACATTTCGCGGAACACCGGTCTCTCGTTACATCTGATTTACTTTTTTGTAGCTAATATTTCTGAGTAAAAGCATATATTGAGTAATATCGATAATAATATCGATATTGAGTAAATAATATTTAATTTTTTATATTTTTGCATTTTGTCTTATTAATTATTCTTTATAAATGTCAATAAAAAAGCCAAAAAGAGTTATCGCCAACAATTTTAGATTATTCAAATTATTAATTGGTTATTATTGTTTTTGTTTATTATCGTAACTGACAATTGATAATTGATATTTAATTATTAATATTGCATTACATATTGTTTATTTATTGGTTATATGTATAATATTCTTCTGACTAACCAGCATATTAGTATTGATTAATTTTTACATATATTGGCGCGCGCGGATATTAATTCTGAAAATATAAATAATATCTCCGATGTTCCGCATAAATTAATTCCGATATTTATTTTGGTAATGATTCATTTATCTATATATGCAGAAAGGGTCGTCCCGAAAATTTTGGGGCAACTGTGCTCGGGAAATCTCTCACCGACGCAACATCTGGAGACGCAGCAGGCCCTAGTCAAGCAATTGGCAGAGATACTGGAATTCGTATTGAAGTTTGACGAACATAAAATGAAAACGCCGGCGATCCAGAACGACTTCAGTTATTATCGAAGGACGTTGACGAGGGCGTCGTTGGCGCGACAGGACAACGCCGAGAAGGATCTAGTTGTCGGCAACGAGCTCGCCAACCGAATGTCCTTGTTCTACGCCCACGCGACACCCATGCTTCGTGTTCTGAGTCACGCGACCATTACTTTCTTGATGGACGTAAGTGGTATCGCTTCTCTACATTATTCTCGTCCGCGCGGTCTCCCATTGTTGCCTGGACAATTATTGATTCGGCCAGATGCTAACTGATGGCAATTAGCTGAAATTCTGCGGTAATCCAGACGGTTTCTCGACGTATCCCTTAATTATTTCTTGGCTGAAAAATAATTATCTCTTTTTTCGAGATTATACGAAATATATATAAAATTGTTTACTTTATTGGCATCAAATATAATACATTTTGATACGTAATAATGTATCTTCTTAAAAAATTACAAATACAAATTTGTCCCATATTAGCAATTTTTTTAAATGTATTAATAATTGTATTAATACTTATTATATATTAATAATAAAATTTTTAAAATAGTATATGAAAAGATTTGTGATGAATAATACAATTTTATCTTTAGTATATAAAATTAAGTTATTATATATTAATAATAAAATTTTTAAAATAGTATATGAAAAGATTTGTGATGAATAATACAATTTTATCTTTAGTATATAAAATTAAGTTATTATATATTAATAATAAAATTTTTAAAATAGTATATGAAAAGATTTGTGATGAATAATACAATTTTATCTTTAGTATATAAAATTAAGTTATTATATATTAATAATAAAATTTTTAAAATAGTATATGAAAAGATTTGTGATGAATAATACAATTTTATCTTTAGTATATAAAATTAAGTTATTATATATTAATAATAAAATTTTTAAAATAGTATATGAAAAGATTTGTGATGAATAATACAATTTTATCTTTAGTATATAAAATTAAGTTATTATATATTAATAATAAAATTTTTAAAATAGTATATGAAAAGATTTGTGATGAATAATACAATTTTATCTTTAGTATATAAAATTAAGTTATTATATATTAATAATAAAATTTTTAAAATAGTATATGAAAAGATTTGTGATGAATAATACAATTTTATCTTTAGTATATAAAATTAAGTTATTATATATTAATAATAAAATTTTTAAAATAGTATATGAAAAGATTTGTGATGAATAATACAATTTTATCTTTAGTATATAAAATTAAGTTATTATATATTAATAATAAAATTTTTAAAATAGTATATGAAAAGATTTGTGATGAATAATACAATTTTATCTTTAGTATATAAAATTAAGTTATTATATATTAATAATAAAATTTTTAAAATAGTATATGAAAAGATTTGTGATGAATAATACAATTTTATCTTTAGTATATAAAATTAAGTTATTATATATTAATAATAAAATTTTTAAAATAGTATATGAAAAGATTTGTGATGAATAATACAATTTTATCTTTAGTATATAAAATTAAGTTATTATATATTAATAATAAAATTTTTAAAATAGTATATGAAAAGATTTGTGATGAATAATACAATTTTATCTTTAGTATATAAAATTAAGTTATTATATATTAATAATAAAATTTTTAAAATAGTATATGAAAAGATTTGTGATGAATAATACAATTTTATCTTTAGTATATAAAATTAAGTTATTATATATTAATAATAAAATTTTTAAAATAGTATATGAAAAGATTTGTGATGAATAATACAATTTTATCTTTAGTATATAAAATTAAGTTATTATATATTAATAATAAAATTTTTAAAATAGTATATGAAAAGATTTGTGATGAATAATACAATTTTATCTTTAGTATATAAAATTAAGTTATTATATATTAATAATAAAATTTTTAAAATAGTATATGAAAAGATTTGTGATGAATAATACAATTTTATCTTTAGTATATAAAATTAAGTTATTATATATTAATAATAAAATTTTTAAAATAGTATATGAAAAGATTTGTGATGAATAATACAATTTTATCTTTAGTATATAAAATTAAGTTATTATATATTAATAATAAAATTTTTAAAATTATATATAAAAAGATTTGTGATGCATAATACAATTTTATATTTAGTATATAAAACCAAAAAATAAATTAAAAGTATAGTAAAGAAACGTCTCATCTATCTTATTAATTTAACAAAAGTATTTCGCAAATGTTGATTACACATTGACACGTGTAAAGATATTTTTTAACGTTGCAATAAATCATCAGCTTTCGCTCGCGTTGATTGCGATGACAAATATCCGCGTTACGTGATCGACATGAAGCACAATGGCAAGGTAGACAGAAAAAATTTGTCCGTGAAAATAATGGCTCTGCTGAAGCAGGAAATTGACAGGTATTCTGGTCTGCGATTCAAATTATTCGAGTTCTATAAACTACATTGATCAAACAAATAAATGTGGCATGACGAACAGAACCTAATGTTATATGCAAGCTCTTAATTAAAGTCGATAATGAAATAATAATGTAATATTGAAAATATCTTCAATTTATGTACAATAAAAATGTGTATTTTATAATAAAGAACAATGTTTTTCAAATATAAGCTCTGCAACAAAGATATTAAAAAATGTGAAAATTTATATAGAAAATATTCGTAAATTTTTGAGATAGAAAAGTTGTCCTTTATTTTCAATAATATGTTTATAAATTATTATCATAAAATTGTATTTCTTTATTTTTAGAACGAAGATATAGCAAGAGAAAATATAACAGAAACGCTTGGTACAATGGCAAAAGTGTGTCTTCGAATGTTGGAAAATCCGTAAGTACTGTTTCTATCAAAATACAAAGATAGCTTTACCAAGAAATTTCTTCGAAGCTAATTTGGGAAATATTTTCTCCCAGGAATTTGTTGGCGCAATTCCAACGAGAAGAGACCCAGCTCTTTGTTTTAAGGGTTATGGTGGGTCTGGTGATCCTCTACGATCATGTACATCCCCAAGGTGCCTTCGTAAAGGGTTCGAATGTGGATGTGAGTACCAAAAAATTGCAAAGAATTTTTAACATAATATTTTAGGAAAAAAATTTCTTAACGAACGTTGATTATATATTAAATTTTAATTTTATATATACATATGTTAAAATATTCTAGAGTAACTAGTTTTAAGAATCCGACAATACCATATAGAAAAATATTTATTGTAAAATTTACAAATAGATATCTCGTTTCGTTTATATTTTTTCAAAGACAATAACGATTCTATATGTTGTAATTTAACAGGTCAAAGGCTGTGTAAAACTATTAAAAGATCAGCCGCCTTGTAAGAGCGAAGGTCTGCTAAACGCCCTTCGCTATACCACGAAGCACTTGAACGAGGAGAACACGCCGAAAAATATAAAAAACCTGCTGGCCGCATGATTACCGAAGCAACGCGGCTGCTGCATCAGAAGTTGAAGCCACACTTCTTCGCAGACACTTCTCCAACGGTATCGTCTCGAACGACCGTCTTTGTAGCTCCAAAGATCCAAGAGTCTCTCCCATTCGCGCGTAAAGCGGTCTTCTTTTCCGCGCGCATCCGGTTTGACGGACCACACGCGTGTTCTCGGAACTACGTCGAAAGCTGCCCTGTCGAAAACTGCCGAGATATTTGAAGCCTTCGAACATAAATTATTAATTGACACATTGATATGGCCATCGAATTCGTAAAACGATCGATCGTCACGTGTTCCTTTTATTTTCCTATGGTCGAAAGAGTTCACGTGTGTGATTATATTACTTATTATTTTTGCTGATCTTACATATTGCAGGCGAAACAAACATTGTTGTGTCACAGCGAATATTCCGAACTTTATCAAATTTTATCATTCTCTCTCTCATTGAACACTTAAAACATTTAAAATTTTTGTTAAGCATTGATGCTTATCTATTATGATCTCTATTAACGATTCGAGTTTTTAATTTACAAAATTTTTTTAACGATAGGAAAAGTTAAGTAAAAGCCGAAATAGATTTTTGCGCACAGCGATCGTTTTTTTGATGCAGCGTTTCAACCAAAGTTGTTTATTAATATAATTTCCGCCCGGAGAGGACGAGAAATTAATTAGAGCATATCATAGAGTGTATTTAGGATAACATAGATGTGGACTTTTGGGGGTGTTACGAAGAGAGCTTTAATCACGTTATGGATATTATGGAGATTTTTAGCTCTTGTTTTCTTTGTTGAATGGCGGGCGAGAGGGTGGATTGTGGGACTGTGAGATGTTGTAAGTCGCAAAGTCGAATATTGCCGGAACAAATCTCATTTTATTGATATAACCCCGTATTTGGAAAGTATTTGGAATCTATATTTGAAATGTATCGAATATTATTGTGTGTGATCTAAAATCGTATTTTGTAGCCTTTCCTTATATATGATTGAAAAACAGAAGAACACCAAAGATGCTTTTAGTGTATAGCAAAATTGCTAGAACGGCAGATGTGATTTAATATTATTATTATTATCATCATTACTATATATCACATTATATTATTAATCTTATTATAAATGATCTTATGAAAGTCCTACTTATAGTAATCAGCGAACTCACACGTGCCGCGATATAGGTCAGTGATCGTCATATAAATACGGATGTACAAATGTAATTGTACACGATAATTTGCTGTACTTCCTCCTAACATATGCAACCATACATTTTGAACAAAGCTAATTTAAATCCCGGATTTTTTGCATCAAGAAATTTATTACGGAGATTATTCTTAGTGTATGAAAATTTTTTTTAAGTATTTATTATATAGTTTTGGGATATTATGTTTTTGTATGGCTATATTAGATGACTGGTTTTCGATTAGTTATACAGAGTGTCCGGCAAGTAACCAAACGAAAGGTGGAGGGCCAGACTTTACTCAATAATAACTCCTTTATTAAGCGTTATAAAAAAGAATGGTTCAGGACTTTTCAACTCAGTTTGATTCAATCTACTTCCACCTTTCGTTTGGTCACTTACTTGTTGGACACCCTGTATATATACAATTAAATTTTTGCTTTTGTTTTTTTTACATTTCCATAAACTAAAAGATTATTCGGTGTTCTAATTTCTAGTGCTAATTTTTGACCTATTATATTTTCTTCATGTGATTTTTGAAGATTTTATAAGAAACATATATCAAAATTTAAAACAGTTCTCTCTAAATATTACAATTTTTTACTGTTATACTAAAGAAATATTTGCGATAAATTAGAATTAGTTTTTTTTATACATACGTATGACGCGTAAATATCAGGAAAGAATTTACAAAAATTTTCGAACTGACTTTAACACAAAACATCTTCTTGCACGTTTTAGAGATTAATACTTTGAAGACTGCTTGCCGACCATAATGTAAAACCATGTGTGTAAGTATTACGTAAAAATTAAAAATCATACATTTACACATGAATTTACCATGAAACGCTCATCAGTAGCGAACCTCAAACACTCACGACTGTATATATACAGATTGTTATGATATATTAACAACATTCACACAGATATTACTGTTACATTGGCACTCCGTTGTAACAAGTGCCCTGAATTATTGCCTTGGTAATTTTTAAGGAAAAGATAATGAATACAGTATTCACTTAATTTTACATTCGTTGTATGCTTTATTTTATAACGTTATTTAATGTCAATTAACACGAGAATTATTATTGTCGCACATATTACGATTGTACTTGAATTAAATTAAAGTCCCCTGAAACATATGAAGTTTGTAATTATTTCAGTGGTTACTCTGATGAATCAGTTCTTTGCAATAAAAATGCACGTTATGCATACGCAATAAACATAATATATGTATATGACCTTCTCCACCAGAACCTTCATTCCTCTGTGCAGGCATTACTATTTTATAAGACTATTATTCATAATCCGTTCGACAAACAGGATGTGGTAATATTGTTGATATTGCTAACTCTTTTTCATCAGTCTATGCGTTTGCATGAATGCATTATTTTAATATATCTTAACAATATTATTATAACTAGATGATAAAAATATCGTACAAATATTTAATAAATAATATATTTCACATCCATATGTGAAATTATTATATCTTATATCTTAATATAATATAATTGACATTGTAATATTTTCAAAAAAGGCATTCAAATATCTTATTTTACATTCAAAACTTTAACTAATTAAAATAATTATAGACTGTTAGAGAAAAAGCGAGAGAGAAAGAGATAAAAAGTCCACTCCTTATACTTTTTTAAAGCTTACATCTTAAAACTTAAGAGGATGCCGGACCGTCCTGTTTTACCGGCCATAATAATTATATATTTGCTTAATATAAGGGTTTTGCGGTGTGTACGTGCAAAATAGGATACCTCTCCACTCGGAAATGCATGAAGGAATATAAGTGAACGTTTGAAAATGTATTTGAAAGCCTAGTAAGAAACATTTCGGTGTGCAAAATGTTGCATAGTAAAATCTTTTTTATAAAGCTTCTAAACTTACTTCTCGAAGTTCACTAATACTCTTTGATAAAATGCCGAGTGCGGAGTTCACTTGTTAGGCACGTGCAGGTTGCAGGTTTTTTATATTAAGTAAATGTTGACGGCAGAAGCCGATAACAAAACTGTAATTTTTTAATTTTTTTTTTACTTTTCATATGAAATCATAAACCCCGCACTCCGTTATTATGTATACTTTAATTATGGAAAAGGATTTGTTGATATCTATAATCAACAAAAATATTTTGCAATCCTACTAATATTCGCATTCTGTCGGTATCCGGCATCCTCTAATGCGCAATTTTTAATTAAAAAATGAAATTGATAAGTATATTTCAAAAGGTATCTATTTTTACTATAGCAGGTTACAAAACTATTAGGACAGAGATGTTCTTATCAATTGATACGACATTATTCATGATCAATAATATCATAAACTGTTTTATTGTCAGTCGATATTTCACGAAAACAAAGTTTTAAGTAAAAGGATCATGACTTTTTCAAAAGATGGAACATTAGAGCTAAAAGAGCTTCTCACGTGACGCCACGACGGTGTTATTAAGGCGCAATTCTTTAAATATTGATTGAAAGTGGGTTGGAGGCGATGGGTGGTGCTCGGTAGAGGGATGAAAGTGGAAGGTGGAGGCTAGTCCAACTGGCGAGATGAGATGAGAAGGTTGACCAAGAAGGGAGAGACCATTTATTATATATGATAGGCGCGGTCGCTATCTCTATGGATTTTTTTTATTATAAATGCAATCCATAGCGAACATAAGCTTCTAATTATCGGCTTACAGCAAAGTTTGATTAAAACAGTTTTTACTCTTGCAAAGCTACTAAATACCTATATGAATTGTATTTTTAAATTAATTATATATTCTGTTATATAACAACGAAAATAATAGTATACGGATAATAATATTAGATATATATACAATTATATAAGCGAAATAAAATTTCAAATATTTTAGTAGTATATGGGTAGGTTTCGCGACTGTCGTCATAGCTGTCTTAATACCGCAATAGTTTTGACGACGGTTGTCAAAAATGCCAAATGTAGCCCAAACTGCCACTTTATAAACGAAAGTGTCATAGCAACTGCCCCTGGACATATAAAAAAAAAAAAATATATATATATATATATATACACAAGTGTTATCTCTACAATCCATATTCTGCTTAGGATTATGTTTATTACAATATTTGAATAGTAATGCGTTATAATTAAGTTTTTAACACGTTTTTAACATTGATAATGTTGAAGCTTGATTAGCACTTTCAAAGTTTTCCTTAATATATAGATTTGTAAAGATACGTGCGACTTATGTCAGATATAATTTTGTTTCGACTAGATATATATTTTTTCTTTTTAATTAAAATATTACAATAGTTTGAAAAACGGAAATACGGATTGTCGAAATAATCCGTAAAGCTATCAATAATCAAATATTTTTTTTATTACTATATATACAAGGTGTTCCATTTTAAATGACGACCTCAAATATCTCTTGAACAATGTATTTTAGAGAAAAATATTTCGAACAAAAGTTGTAAGGTTCAAAGAGAGCTAATAGACGATCTTATTAGATTTTGGATCGGAGATCCGTGTTGGGCCCAATAGGGTCCAAGTCAATTTTTTAAAATGAAACCCCCTATTTTTCACTGCATATTCTTGTAACTTATATATGCTGCTATATATATTCTGCATATCATTTAATAATTTAAAAATTTTCTATTATTCTTATAATCTTCTATAATGTTCTCATATGATTACAGGAATAAATAAAATATTTCTTTTGCTATAAACTGTATACTATCGTATCTGCATCAGGAAATATAAATAAGATGCAAATAAATTATTTGTAATTATAAAACTTTTATTATTGAGCTTAGTATTGAAATTGTTTATGAAACAGCCAGCGAATTAACAATCGCGATTCCTCCCCGAGAGCGGCCATGTTTTGGAAGGCGTCCGAGAATGTCGCCCAGCTTTTGTTTTGCCTTTAGCACGACCGCCACCGCCATCAGCACCACCCTTGTAGATTTCCTCTCCGCTCATCCCTTGCCGCTACGCACAATCCAGCGACCCTCTTTTTTTCGGGCTGGATGCTGCGGAGTGAGAGAGATGGGCAGAGGAACCCCTATGGATTTTTTTTCCGTACCGCGAGAGCATCCGCTCTTCTCCGCACCCCTCCGCTCGCAATGTTTTAAGGGCTGCAACAACGCCTGGCGGTGGTCCTAAAAAAATTCAACCTCCAATTTGTAAGGTTGGCGGCCTGTTTAATTGCGATATCCAATTCCTCCTCGCAATCCATCTTTTTTCTCTTCCTTTTTCCGCTCAGTTTTTCTCTCTCTTTCTCTCTTTTGTTCTTTCATCCCTCTCGTTCGCGGTTTTCAAGGCGTCGAGATGGTTCATAAGGGCTGCTCGCTCGTTAATCTTCCGAGACGTTTTTTTTTCTCTTTTTTTTTACCATTTCGAGAAGCGACGTCGTCTCGGTTGGGAATAATAATGAGACTAATCCGCACGACACACCTCGTACATTAATTCCTCGCACGGAGCTCTCTTTTCGAGCCGGCCACTTGAAAATCCCGGCGATACGAATCGCGGTTTTTTTTAATAACGATAATTTGAAGGGAAGGAAGATGACAGTTTCAAAAAATGGTTGTACAAAGAACAATAATTTCTGCAGATATTTCGAATATTACACCATCTTTCTCTATCACGAATACCTTCTATATTTCTATTAAAATTGTGATAGTGCATAAATTTCTATAATGCATAATAAATATATGTATAATTAAATCATTATCATTATATAAAATAACATCAGAGAAAATAGGTAGATAAGCGTCATGCGTATTATTGTTTAATGCGGCTATGCATAATATTTTGTGACATTAAAAAGACAATTGAGATTGTTGTAAAATATAATTTTTCAAAACTAAGACATACTCCCTCATATTATCCACTTAATCATTAGAAAATTAAAAACTTTACAATTATCTTGTTATAAAGAAATCATGGCATTATTTTATTTAAAAGGCATACAATCGGAATTGAATTATCTCTGTTTATTTTACATAATTAATTTGATAGAATGCGTTGATAACCTTCTATAAGAAAGTAACAAACGGAATATTTCTCACGCATCTCTGAATATGTACCAACAAGATTTTCACAACAAGACGCGATTGCATCGATTTGTAATCAACTGCAAAAAAAAACTTTACTCAGCGGGTGGGTATAATGCCGGAGTTTACAGTTTCGGTGAGCACCCCTCGCGCGGTTAAATCGTGCCACCCCTTTCTGTCCGCTATGCGGGACATTATGCAGCCTACTCTGGTGCGGCCGGTCTAATTGTGATATCGCTTTTTTTCTCACTCGGCT